ATGTTAGTGAAATATAAAAAGATTAAATTTAGATGGTAAATGAACCATAAAATACAGTGAATAAAACACATAGAGGAAATTAAAACCCTAACCGCATAATTTCTAGTTCACATGCATTTATTAAAAATATCTATCGAATAAATTAAAAGACGAATGTTAGAGTTCATTTCTTCTTTGTGTACACTTATTTGGGTACCTATGGACAAAGTTTCAGCATGGCCTTATATCGGGTGGGTTTCTACAGTTTACTATATGTAGAGTTTCGGTTCTAGGAGTAAAGGAACTTGAATTGTCCTTGTCGGTGCCCCTTTGGGTGAGCCATACCCTCAATCCTCACCCATTATAGGCTTAAGCAGATCGAGTTCAATTCGAGAGGGCACATTCCCCTATGCCTGACATAGAGAATAAATCCTCATGAAGATATAGGGTATATAAACCCCGAAAGCTACTAACTAGGTCTGACACGGAGAATAAATTCTCACAAAGACGTCGCTTTCAAAGAGAAAGAGCTTGGGTATAGAGCTTATGTTATGTAATGCACGTGTTGTGTGTGAGAATAAATTATCAAACCTTTGACAAAAAATCACTCAAAAGCGAACTAAAACGAATCCAAAATTTCAATATCTGAAAATTAATCAAATGCAAACATTAATATACAAGGATATAAAATAAAATAAAATAATAAAAAATAATAAAAGAATTGAAAGAAATCAAAAGAATCGTAAATTAAATAAAATTTTATTCTCAATTTCCAACTATAGAGACAATATATAATCGATTTAAGGCTTGATCCACTAAATCCCCAGCGAAGTCGCCAAGCTATCGTAACCGATTTCCATCGATACGACGAGTCTCGACTCATTTTGTGAAAACTCGATTTTGTAAAAGAAATGTTTCAGAGTCGCCATCGACTTTTTAGATTAGGTAGGTCGAATACCTAAAAAAATTTCTTTTAAAAAATAGTTTTTAAGAAAAACGTCATTTTAAAAGATACATCGATCCACGTGTAACCAGAAATTCATTTTTTAGCAATAAAAAGGGTCTGGGTGTCGATTACGTGTGGGGAAGGATAAGAACCCCCACAACGCCCAAAATTGGTACCTATCGATTATATATTGTCTCTAAATAGTAGAAATCTAAGAATTCAAATATATATTTAAATTACGATTCCATTATTCCGAATTCAACCATATAATATTATAGAACAAAAATTCTAAGGAAAAATATAAAATATTCTCTTATTTCCAATTGAAGAGAAAATAGTCCCTAAAATACTTTAGGACAAATATTTCTCTTTCCAACTGAAATAAAAAAAATAGTAATTTTCCCTAAGAATCTAATATTAATATAATTTTTATTCAACCAAAGAAAGAAATTAAATGCATTAATCCGAATTATATTATTAGAAAAGATAAGTGATATTCAATAATTTAAAAATACCGAGACTTAATCTCTAATAAAATTAGCAAATTGTCTCGGTAAGTTTAAAATAATGAATATTTCCCTTTTCCCTTCAAAAGTAATTAATTTTCAATGCAACCAATTTTTTTTAGGTTTTTTCTAGTGGGAATATTTATTTATTTTAAAATATCGGAAAAAGACATCTAGTTGTCTTAAGAGTGTCCCTTCTTAATATTTTAAAATACATAAATACTACCCTTAATCCAATTATATAATCGGTTAAATTATGCTAATGAGGCTTTTAAACAAAATAAAATATGATACATTGAAGCACTTAGAGAGAAAAAAAAATACACATGGATTAAAAGAACAATTTTAAATTTATTATTAACTTTATATTACTTTATAAATATATACATATTTTCTAAATATTATATTAAACATAGAACATAATATTTATTCTAATAAAAATACAATATTTATATCATGCTATTTCATTATGTACAAAGTAATATATAATAATAATACAAGCAAAATAAACATCTAAAACATAAAACATACTTTAATGGTAAAAATAAACAAAATACATATGAATCTACTCATTACATGGTGATAAAAAATATAAACCTTAGGATCTTAAATATTAATAAACAAATATCATGGCATGAAACAAGAAAATAACAAAAATAGAAGCACTAGAATAGTAAATAAACCATAAATATAGGACTAAAATGGAATATCATAAATATCAGTAACCAATTTCGAACAAAAATAATACATCCAACATAGTACTAAATTAAAATAATGCAAAACCAAGTATTCAATTCGCAAATCATATAAAATAAAAAAAGAAATGGTGACTAAATCGCAAAAAACGCTGAAACTATGAGGACCGGAGGCTTGATTAACCCTAAAAAGTTATTAAAATGTTAATCACATTAAACGTAAAGGACCAGTAAGGTGATTTAACCTAAAACTAGTGGCCATAATGTAAAACACGCTAAAGGTACAGGGACCTTAACATGATTTACCCAAAAATCTTAAAATATCAACTACTTTCCACCTCTCCAGATTTCATTTCGCCCGATGGATTTCTAAACCCAAATCTCCTCTCTTTTCTTTCTCTTCTCTCAACCCATGGTGGTTGCTCCCTCCACAAGCGAGAACCAAACCCCTAAACGACCACCACACGCGGTAGTCCAACAACCCTAACTCAAATATGACCAACCTCTCACTCTTTCGACGACGGCGCTACCCCGACTAACCCTCAATAGCATCAAGGTAAACTATTCCCCTAAATCGCTATTTTATTTTATTTTTCGAAATAGAATAGAACCAAAAGTAAGAACAAGGATTAGAATACCTTCAAGAATATATGTTGAAAAAAATGTGTTGTATTGCTTTCATATTTTTTTCTATTTTTTGGTATGAATAACCGAGCCAGCCCCCCTGCTCTTGTTACATGGTTTGGTTCTTATAACTAATTTTACATAGGGTTAAAAACAAATAAAAATAATCCTAGGTCTACTGTGGTGTTACTGTGTTGATGATGGAGCGTTTTTAATGCTCAGGATATTCTGGGGTTTTATTGAGCAAGCTTGGACCGGCGTGGTAGTGGAGGCTGAAGGCATGATATCCCTAGGTATAGTTAGGTTAGGGTTCTGTTGGGTTTGAATGGGGTTATGGGATTTAGGGGTTATGAAAAATGGTGGCTACAACATCCCGATTGACAAAAGAATTTTTAGTTTCCAAATTAAACAAGATGTACCCCTTTTTAGTGGATGAATACCCCATAAAGACAACAGGGATGGCTCTAGAAGAGAATTTGTTTGAAGGATTTGGAGTAGTAGCATAACATAAGCATCCAAAAATTCTTAAATGAGATAGGTCAAGAGATTTATGATGAAATATCCCAAAAGATGTTCGCCGGCCTATAACAAAAGAAGGTATTCTATTGATGAGGTAACAAGCTGTCTTAACACATTCGCCCCAAAATTTGATAAGTACATTTGAATGAAATTTCAAAGCATGGACTATTTCTAAAAGATGCTTATGTTTTCTTTCAACAGCTCCATTTTGTTAGGGGTACGGACACGTGAACTTTGATAAATGAAACCTAAAGAGTAAAAAGAGAACATTCCGTATTGAAAAACCCGGAACCATTGTCACTACGGATAGTATGAACATTTACAGAAAAATAAGTCTTGACATAAGCAAAAAAACAAAAAAGCTTTAAGATACAAAAGAGCATTAGATTTGAGCTTCAACAAGTAAACTCAAGTCATGCGAGTATGATCGTCCACAATGGTGAGAAACAAAACGATGTCCACTATGCGTGGAAAAACTCTATGGTCCCCAAAGATCTAAATGAATAAGAACAAAAGGTGCATTTGCTCTAGATTGACTTAAAGGAAAAGGAAGTCGAGTCTGCCTAACCTTGGGACAAACAGAATAATCAACAACCGAACACTCATCAAGTTTGCTACTAGAAAAAAGACAATTTATTCAAACTATGAACATCAACATGTACTAAGCGAGCATGCCAAGTCTGAGTTTTATTAGAAGCCACAACAGCAGATTGCATACAATAATTGAAAGGTAACAAAGAACATTGAGAAGGACTAGACAAATCGGGAGCTGAAAACAAAGACCCAAAAACATACAGGCCCCCAACAGCCTTACCAATCCCCTTCACCACTCCACTGGAAATATCCTGTAATAAACAGAAATCTTGGTAAAATAAAACTACACAATTGAAATCACGGGACAAATTGGAGGCTGACAGGAAGTTATGGGTAAAATGAGGAACATACAGGACATTATGTAATTGAAGACCTAAAGCTAAAGGAAAAGAACCAATATGGGTGATAGAAGTTGTTTTACCATTAGGTAGGTGAACTAACCTAGACTCAGAAGCACAAGAGACATGATTAATCAAGCAAGAAAAATCAGATATTATATGATATTAGGAAGTGAGTATAACAGAAAGTATACAAAGGAAAGAATGACTTGTTATTCATCTCAGCTGGTGCATTACATTTTTAAAAGAAGATTAAGCTCTCATTAGCTGCCAATAACCGTCTAACAAACTAACACTCTTAGCTAATCAAACTAACAGACTAACTGCCTCCTCATACATGTGCTGCATTGATAACAGTCTAACATTCCCTCTACTTTCTCTTCCTCCTTCAACAAGGTAAGACACATCCTTCCGTTCGACTTGAATCGGAAGTGTCGATGCTTCCTTCCGTTCGAATTGAATCGGAAGTGTCGATGCTTCATTCCGTTCGACTTGAATCGGAAGTGCCGATGCTTCCTTCCGTTCGACTTGAATCGGAAGTGCCGATGCTTCCCTCCGTTCGACTTGAATCGAAAGTGCCGATGCTTCCCTCCGTTCTACTTGAAACGAAAGTGCCGATGCTTCCCTCCGTTCGACTTGAATCGGAAGTGCAGATGCTTCCCTCCATTCGACTTGAATCGGAACAAAATTTTGATGTGAATGAACATTCAACAAAAAATTCTAAAAGAAAAACCTATTCTATAACAACAATGTGAAACAAACCAAACACCAACAACATCATTGAAACATTTGATCCGCATCACCACAGATTAAGTTGAACACAGCTCCCTTTTCCAATTTCAACCACGCAGTTAAAAATCGTAGAAGTTCCAGGTCCAATCTCAAGATCATGCCATGGGTGCGCAACAACGGATCTCCTGGTCATTGAAGAAAGGGACCTTTCATTCAAAGGAGGATGTGAAGAATTTTGAGAGTCGAAGGACTTGGCTGGAGGCTCAATTGGGGGAGACATCACTACAGCGGTTTCTAGTTCTGAAGAAAGAGAAACTTTTCGAGGATCTTGAAGGAATGCCCAGATCTCAAGAACAGAGGAAGCAAAAAATACAAAAGGATAATAGCAAAGAAAGATGTGCCCATCGAACAGGCGCCTCGACGATCTTTTTGGTTTCTTGAGGCGTTGGTGCCTCAGTAGAGATGACGGTCCACAGAACCACGACGGTGAGTGAAATTCTTGTGCCATATCGCACAACATTTTCTGCAGCTCCTCCAGGCTGCAAACTTTCTCCTCTTCCCTTGTTTGAGCCATAAGGGAGATCATTTCAGCCATAAAATTAGACAAGCCCTGATCGTCTTCATCATCGGGATCAAATAATCCAACATCGTAATGAGTTCTCTTCCTCTGATCTGATAAAACGGAATAAGCTTCTTGAATCTGCTGGAATTTACGCTTGGCTTCACTCAATAGAGAATGAGTGCTCGTCCACTTATCCAGATGCCATTGCATTGCAAGCTTTCGATAAGCACGCTTGATGTCTTGAATGGAAGCATCGATCTCGACTCCCAGAACATTATAGTACGATGGTAAGCCACGTTCAGCCTCCATCACCACAATCCAAATAATATTTGAGAATGAGCCCCAAAAGCTTAATGAATGTTGTGTTATAGTGGTGTTAAAGCCCGAGCATGGTAACTGAGTCAGCAGTTTGCTGACTAGACCCATTGTGCACCATGAATGAAGAACTAGAGAGACATAAAGTTTAGAAGCGTGAAAGCAAAATTCCCAGGACTTTGGCGAAAGATACCATATTAAGAAGTGAGTATAACAGAAAGTATACACAGGAAAGAATGACTTGTTATTCATCTCAGCTGGTGCATTACATTTATAAGAGAAGATTAAGCTCTCATTAGCTGCCAATAACCGTCTAACAAACTAACACTCTTAGCTAATCAACCTAACAGAGTAACTGCCTCCTCATGCATGTGCTGCATTGATAACAGTCTAACACGTGACCATTTGCACCAGTGTCAAGAATCCAAACAAGATTCTTAGGAGAAGAACAGAAACATTACCCACAATATTAGCCACTGAATCACCAAAACTAGGTTTCATGAGAAGCACCAAGATTTTCTTGTTCTAGTTTGGAGTAAATGTTGCTGAAGGAACAGATGCAACAGACTCAGCCTTAGTTCCTGGATGAGAAGAACCCTCCAAGTTAACAGTCAAAGCAGCTTGAGCAACCTTCTTGTGATTGAACTTGAAGTCCGCAGGAAAGTCAATCAAACGATAGAAAGATTCTCGTTTGTGTCCCTTGACACCATAATGATCACATGAGCCAGAAAAATGTCTGCGAAATGAGGCACCAGAAGCCCCTGATGTAGAAGAGAACATTATTGAAACACCAGAAACATGAAGTCGCTGGGACTCTTCCTGAACTAACATAGAGTAGGCTTGGTTCACGGAAGGAAAAGGCTAAAGAAGAAGCAAATGACTACAACTTGAAAATACGTGTCATTAAGGCCCATTAAGAACTGAAACAAGCGCTGTTGATGAACATGTTGCATTTTCTGATGAGAAGTTGCACAATCACAGAAGGAATATGGCACCAAGACATCATACTCATCCCATAAGGATTTCAATCGTGTAAAATAAGCTGAGATTGAAGAATCCCCTTGAGAAAACATAGTAATTTCGCGATGAAGAAAGAATATATGCTAACCATCAACCTAGCTAAACCGTTCTCTCAAATCTTTATATACAAGCGAGAGACCAGAGGGAAACATGATTCTGGCAGACAGCTCTTTGCTCACGGTGTTGAGAATCCAGGAAAGAACAACCGCATTGCAGTGATCCCACTGAGATTGCAACAAAGCATCGAAATCTTCTCTGCAACAGTCACCTTTGATGAATCCGAGCTTGTTCTTAGCCAAAAATTCGATACGTAAAGATCGACTCCAAACCATGTAGTTGTCGATGCCAACCAATTGATGAGAAACTAGAATGGCATCAGGCGTATCGTAGGGATGCAAGAACAATGGATGATTAAAAATCCACAGTGATCGATTCTGAAGAAGGCATGTTGAAGGCGATAACAAAGAAAAATAAAAGGGGAAACAACAAGCCTTTGCTGAAACAGATGCACAACCTGCTAACTATTTTTACCCTTCTAATTTTAACAACAATCTGTCCGGCTCGTACATTTCGGTGGCATTCTTTGCCTCCATTTGTAGTCGTTGATCAGCTTGTAAAATACTTTCAATCTCCACAAAACTCAGGCCGAACATTATCTTGTGTTGAGATTTACCGTTGTGCTCGTGCAGCTCCATGCATATTCATGCATGAGGAGGTTCTAGAAATGATCTAGAAGCTAGATTGTTAGAAGTTTGTTAGCCGAGCAGTTCTTAACAGCTTAACAGCTAGTTGGTTAGGTGATTTCTTGAGTAGATAAAGCATTGTAAATGATCTATATAAAAACAGAAGTGTAGACTGTACTAAGTAAGAGTTCTTTGAATAAATGAAGTAATCATACATTCCATACATGAATCCTTGATTTCTTCTGCAATATTCAACATGGATATTAACTCTAATTCACTCACTCAAGTTCACATTAAGAAATTCATCTAAACGATCCGGTTTTACTACCTCATTCCATACCGTTCGCGCGATATAACACTCCCGAAAAATATGTGACGTAATTTCCAAAGGAGCCACATAACAAGCACAGCTGAGATTATCCGAAAGGTGATGTCGGGCCCTCTACACATCTGTCATTAGTGGTTCCTTGTTACATATTTTTTTAATTAGATGACTAATTATTTGAGGTTTAAATTTATTAAATATTTTAATTTTATACTAATTTAATATTTAAATGGCATTAAAAAGAAATGTTGTTATTCCTTAAGGTCTTGAGTTCGAGCACCAGAAATTATTGTTATTCCTTGAAGTCTTGGTAAAATATATAAATTTTAAAGACTGTACATTTAGTATATTGTCTAAAATAATGTTAAATTAAAATAGAATATTATAATTAAGATTAATTATTTTTAATTATCCAATTTTAAAATTAGCATTTTTTTATTTTAAAATACCTAATAAATCTTTGAAATAATAGATTGGACATATACAAGAATATTTCAATTTTTTGGGAGTATAAAATCTATTTCGTCAAGATATTTACCAAGAAATTAATAAGTGGGTCCATGGCAAAATATTTACATGCGTAGTTGTACAACCTATACTTTTATTTCTAGTTAAATTACATAATCTAGATTATTAAATATAAATCGTTTACAAAAGTATAAATACGCCTTTTTGAAATTTATTAAACTATCATTTTAAAAAAAGACTTAATGCCCAAATAAGTGTCTAAACTATATTTGTGTCAAATAAGTCTTCTAATTTTTTAGCCTATGCGAGGGTCTAACGTAAAAATTTAGTATTTTAGGTACCGGCACGTAACGTCCGTTAAATAAAAGCCATTATCCATTCATTTTTGAACATGTCCCTAATTATTATTTTTTTGCATTTTTCTGTGAAATTTGAATATATTAAAAATTAAAATAAATAAAACGTTAATATTAATATTTTAATCCTAATAATTTCACCCTAAAAAGTAAAAAAAACCAAAATTTACCCATGATCCTCATCATTTTGCTGAAACTCCCCTCCCATTGTCTTTTGAAATCTCCTCCTTCACCGTTCTTACTAAAACTCTTCTCCTCTCCTTTCACTCTTATCCTCATCTGTGTTTCCTGAATCACTTCTCCTATCCTTTCACTCTCTTCCTAATCTGTTTATCCTAAAATTAGGATTTTGGGAATCGTACAAACTATTTATCTTCAAAATCGTGAAAGATGTCAAGTGAATCTTCAAAATCATGCCATAGTTTAGGGGTCAGTATTGTTATTGCAGAATAAGGGCTCCGATTTTCTGTTCAAATGTGCCTCGGAGCAAAGGAAGGAGATTTTATGGTTGTTCACAATTAAAAGAGGTAATTTTTTTGGATTTGCTAAATGAGGGCGTAGAAGTATAGAACAATATATGAAATTTTTGTTATTTTGATGAGAAAATTGAGTATTAAAAAGATTGAAAGCGTGTTTTTTGTTGTGTTCCATATGAAATATGCTGGAAATTCAATATATATAGTTTGTATCTAATTTGAATATTCTAATTAGACGAGTTTGATTTTTACATGTAATTGGGCTAATTGGTAGTGTTTGCTTTGTTTCTACTTTAAATATGAAGTTTGTATTTTGTTTAAATGTCTTTAGAATTGATGTACATTCTTTAAGTGGATTTACAAGGAATAAGATAGTGGTTGTGTAGTTGAAGAATTGAGAGTAACACTTGAAATGGTGATGGTCGAGAATGGAAAACTCAAAGTCGAAAACAATGAATTGAAGGAACGTATCGAAATTGATGAAGTTTGAAGGTTAAGGGCAATAGTTGAGAATCAAAAAGTGAAGATTAGATCCTACAATATTACCTTTTTTACTTCATGGATAATGTATATTTTGATAAAATATGAACTTTAGAGTATAAATTGTTAGATTTGATGATACTAACGAATATGTAAGAACTTATTTTAGTAGTATGATTTAAGTTTATAAGAACCTATGTTTATTAGTATGATTTAAGACCAAGCATAATGTTTATCAGTATGTCAAAAATGTTTATGTCAATTATATTGTTATTTCTATGTATAAAATGTTGTTTATTTCAACCACCTTATAAGAGAAATATTGTTTATTGCAGAAATAAACTTGTTAATGACATAATTTATTTTAAATAAGGTGATTGAAGTTTATGTTTGTCATTAATAAGGTGCATAATGTTTATTGTAGGTGTCAATAAGGTTCCTACATTTGGTAACACATTTTTGGATAACACAAATTCAAAAACATTTGTTTATTGTAAGTCTCAATAAACATGATGCTGGTGAATCCCGGCTGAGACTGCTGCTTATGAGACATTGAATGAAGTGGTGAGATGTTCAACCGATGAGACAGCTCCATTGGTGCTGAAATTGGTTCTGTCATCATGATGGAGCTTCATAACACCCTTGAGGGCCAGAAACTCTCATCTGATGAAAGAGAAAAGCAGAGTGAATTGCAAGGCCTTCTTTGTGGCTGTTTACAAGTTATTATTCAGAAGCTTGGTTCATCGGAATCAACCAAATATGTGTTCATGCAGTATGCAGATCAGATCATGGGACTTTTCCTTAAGGTTTTTGCTTGTAGGAGTGCTACTGTACATGAGGAAGCCATGCTTGCTATTGGTGCTCTTGCTTATGCAACAGGAGCAAAATTTGCAAAATACATGCCAGAGTTTTATAGGTACATGGAAATGGGTCTTCAGAATTTTGAGGAATACCAGGTCTGTGATGTGACCGTTGGTCTTGTGGGTGACATTTCCAGGGCACTGGAGGAAAAAATGTGCCTTACTGTGATGGTATTATGACTCAACTTCTCAATAATTTATCAAGCAACCAGTTGCATCGTTCTGTGAAGCCTCCTATATTTTCATGCTTTGGTGACAATGCATTGGCAGTTGGAGAGTATTTTGAAAAGTACCTAATGTGGGTCATGTCTGCACTTCAGAGCGCT